ACCCCTATCCCCCCACCCCTTGCTTCCCTGCTGCCCTACCCCTACCTGTTCTGCGACGCCCCCAGTCCCAGCACGATGGGGTCGGCGATCTCGATCATGGACTGCAGGGTCGACGTCACCACGATGAAGAGGATGATGCTGAGGAGGAAGGTCCGCTGGAGGAGCTGCAGGTCCAGCAAGTCCGTCTGGAGGGCCAGCAGCAGCATGGTCACGCCCTCCGTCACCCCCCTGCAGAGCCACGACGGGAGGAGGGAGATTCGTTGGAGAAAGGGAATCAGGGGCCCGGCAAAGAGGAGCCCGGGAGACCGGCCACCCACCACTGGGGTCAGGTGGGCAGGTTACCTACTGATGGGTCTAAGCCAGGGGTGTCGAACTCATTTTGTTATGGAGGGCTGGATCTGACATAAATGAGACCTTGTTGGGCCGGGCCACGTGTGTGTCATAAAAGGTAATGCCAGGTAGCGGAGAGATAAACTTTATAAAGGACACAAAAACAAAGGGTTTTTTCTTAACTTAAAATGAAAGCATGCTTAAAACATTAGCACTCCTGCAATATTTTGTTTATTTCACAGTGTCTGATCACTGACACCTCTTGCTCTGAATTATTGCATCAAAATGTCTGCTGTTGCAATCCTGAGTATGCTGGTTCAGGTGTGTATCTGTAAGCTGCAAACCTACGATGACGCAGCAACAGAACCGGAAGAAGAAGCAGGAGACAGCCAGTTCCACTATGGGCCTAAGAGAAGCCCTCCAGGGGCCTGATCCGGCCCCTGGGCCGCATAGTTGACAACCCAGGTCTAAGCCCCTCGGTGCTTTGCAGTGGGGAAACATTTGAGGGATATACTACAGATGAGCTTTACAAAATTATGCATTGGATGGAGTATGTAAAGAAGTACTTTTCTCCCTTTCTCACAATACAAGATCTCTTGGGCACTTGATGAAATTAATAAGCAGTAGGCTGAGAACAGATAAAAGGAAGCACTTCTTCACCCAAAGAGTCATGAACACGTGGAACTCACTGCTGCAGGAACATGGAATTCACTATGCAGCTACAAGCATAGACTGCTTCAAGAGGGAAAACTGAATAAACAGTTGGAGCAGGGGTCCATCAGTGGCCATTAGCCACAAGGTAATAGACGGAACACGGTGTCTGGGCCAGGGATGCTCTGTATTCTTGGTTCTTGGGGGGTCAACAGTGGGAGGGCTTCTAGTGTCCTGGCCCCACTGCTGGACCTCCTGATGGCACCTGGTATTTTTGGCCACTGTGTGACACAGAGTGTTGGACTGGAGGGGCCACTGGCCTGATCCAACAGGGCTTCTCTTATGTTCTGGGGCAGGGATTGAGTATGCTGGTTCTGGGGCAGGGATGCTCTGTATTCTTGGTGCTTGGGGGGGGGGGCCAACAGTGGGAGGGCTTCGAGTGTCCTGGCCCCACTGCTCGACCTCCTGATGGCACCTGGTATTTTTGGCCACTGTGTGACACAGAGTGTTGGACTGGGTGGGCTGTTGGCCTGATCCAACATGGCTTCTCTTATGTTCTTATTTGGAGCAGAGGTCCATCAGTGGCTATTAGCCAGAATGTTCAGATGGAACACTTTGTCTGCGGCAGTGATGTTCCGTATCCTTGGTGCTTGGGGAGGAACAGTGGGAGGAGGGCTTCTGGAGTTCTGGTCCCGCTGGTGGATCTCCTGATGGAACCTGGGTTTAGGCCACTGTGTGACACAGAGTGTTGGACTGAGTGGGCCATTGGCCTGATCCAACATTGGCGTCTCTTATGTTCTTATCTAGGATCCTCTGTGGGTTTTAAAAAGCTAGTGGAACCAACTGCGCTCTCCCATGTAAACATACCCACTCACACTGGTCACCTTCCGATGCTCTGTTTTGGTTGCCATCACCATCGAAGGCTAGACGGGTGGTGCACTGAGACAGGGCCTTCTTTGTCGTGGCACCAAAACTTTGGAACTCCCTCCCCAGAGAGATTCATCTGCATCCCACTATCGGGATCTTCTGCCCGCAGGTGAAGACTTTTTTGTTTTGTTTGGCATGCTCACCAATTACAGTCATTTGCATCTTTTCCGGTATCACTTTGTTACATTCCTGACTCACATGGTGGCTAATCAGTTCCTCTGGATGGCCAACAACAGAGCAGAGAAGCCGAGGCCTTCCCCTGATGCTGCCTCCTGGCTCTGGGACTCAGAGGTTGACTGCCTCTGAACATGGAGGTTCCCCTTACTCACCATGGCTGGTAGCCATCGATAGACTTCTCCTCCATGAATCTATCTAATCCCCTCTGAAAGCTGTTTATTCCCGTGGCCAATCACTACATCCTCTGGCCACGAATTCCACATTTTATCTTGCAAGGGAGGTTCTTTTTAACATAGTAAAGGTAAAGGTCTTCCTTGCTCAAAAGCCAGTTGAGTCCGACTCTAGGGTTGCGGTGCTCATCTCTGTTTCAAAGCCGAAGAGCCAGCGCTGTCTTAAGACGTTTCCGTGGTCATGTGGCCGGCATGACTAAACACCAAGGCGCACAGAACGCTGTTACCTTCCCACCGAAGTGGTACCTATTTATCTACTTGCAATTTCTTGCTTTCGAACTGCTAGGTTGGCAGGAGCTGGAACTAGAGACGGGAGCTCACTCCGTCTTGCGGCACCCGGGTCTTGAACTGCTGAACTACTGACCTTCCACAGCCTGCAGTTCAGCGTCTTAACCACTTGAGCCACCGCAGCTCCTTTTTTAACATAGAGAAACATTACTGATCGAGAGCATGTTTACTAGCTTTTATTGTAAAGACGTTCTGTCTAAATTTCTTGTAATTATATGTAATGCATTTTATTGTTGCTGTTTGCATGTTTGGCTTAAGACCTCGGGTCAATGAAGCTAATAAATGAAATGGAAAAATGGAGAAACATGTAAAATGTCACTCCTCTATTTCCCAGGGTGGAGAGACCACAATTATGCATTATGCATAACTGGCCATCGTGTGGCAGCGCTCTCTGGGTCCAGTAGATGGGATGGCTGTAAAAGAAGCCCCCCCCACACACACTTCTAACCCTTTCGATGCCCAGGATGGAGATCGACTCTGCCAAACAAGCCAAACGCCACACATGGGCTCTCTCACCTGTGCATCACGTTGCCATTCTGGAAAGCGCCGTAGCCCGCCAGGTAGAACTTGCAAAGTTTCAGCAGGGCCAGGGCCAGGTAGGAGACGGTGAAGGTGAGCCCGATCAGGGAGTAAGGGGTGCTGCAGCACTCGGCCACGCTGCGGATGAAGAGAACCAATGAGAAGCCCTCCTGAAGGCGGTCTGAGCAACCTGAGCTATAGCATCTGTTGCCCCCCAGGGGCCAGCAAGAGGCCTCTGGGAAGTCCACAAGCAGGGCGTCAAGGCTATGCCCCGCCCAGCAACTGGCATTCAGATATCCTGCCACTGACTATGGAGGTTCCATTTAACTTCCATGAGAGTTAGCCATTGGTAGAGCACTCCTCCTCCTCCCCATTTGAAACCATCTATTGCCATTAGCCATGGGCACAATGCATTCCCTACATTAACTGTGTGAATTATTTCCTTCCAGTTGAATTAAGTCAATGATACCCTATGGGGAGCATTATAGTCAATGGGCCCCATAGGTTTTAATGGAGAATTGATCTGGCGCTATCTGAGGCTTGGGGGGAGAGCCTCTGCTTGGCCTGCAGAAGGTCCCAGGTTCAGTCCCTGGAATCTCCAGTTAAAAAGGACCAGGCAGGAGGTGATGGGAAAGACCCCAGCCTGAGACCTTGGAGAGCTGTAAAGACGGGCTGTGGCTCAGTGGCAGAGTCCCTGCTTGGCATGCAGAAGGTCCCAGGTTCAATCCCCGGCATCTCCAGTTAAAAAGGACCATTTCCAGCTAAAAAAGTACCAGGGAGGGGGTGATGGGAAAGACCTCCGCCTGAGACCCTGGAGAGCTGTAAAAAGGGGCTGTGGCCCAGTGGCAGAGCCTCTGCTTGGCATGCAGAAGGTCCCAGGTTCAGTCCCTGGAATCTCCAGTTAAAAAGGACCAGGCAGGAGGTGATGGGAAAGACCTCTGCCTGAGACCCTGGAGAGCTGTAAAGACAAGCTGTGACTCAGTGGCAGAGCCCCTGCTTGGCATGCAGAAGGTCCCAGGTTCAATCCCCGGCATCTCCAGTTGAAAAGGACCAGGCGGGAGGTGATGCGAAAGACCTCCGCCTGAGACCCTGGAGAGCTGTAAAGAGGGGCTGTGGCTCAGTGGCAGAGCCCCTGCTTGGCATGCAGAAGGTCCCAGGTTCAATCCCCGGCATCTCCAGTTAAAAAGGACCAGGCAGGAGGTGATGGGAAAGACCTCCGCCTGAGACCCTGGAGAGCTGTAAAGAGGGGCTGTGGCTCAATGGCAGAGCCTCTGCTTGGCATGCAGAAGGTCCCAGGTTCAATCCCCGGCATCTCCAGTTGAAAAGGACCAGGCGGGAGGTGATGCGAAAGACCTCCGCCTGAGACCCTGGAGAGCTGTAAAAAGGGGCTGTGGCTCAATGGCAGAGCCTCTGTTTGGCATGCAGAAGGTCCCAGGTTCAGTCCCTGGAATCTCCAGTTAAAAAGGACCAGGCAGGAGGTGATGGGAAAGACCTCTGCCTGAGACCCTGGAGAGCTGTAAAGACAAGCTGTGGCTCAGTGGCAGAGCCCCTGCTTGGCATGCAGAAGGTCCCAGGTTCAATCCCCGGCATCTCCAGTTGAAAAGGACCAGGCGGGAGGTGATGCGAAAGACCTCCGCCTGAGACCCTGGAGAGCTGTAAAGAGGGGCTGTGGCTCAGTGGCAGAGCCCCTGCTTGGCATGCAGAAGGTCCCAGGTTCAATCCCCGGCATCTCCAGTTAAAAAGGACCAGGCAGGAGGTGATGGGAAAGACCTCCACCTGAGACCCTGGAGAGCTGTAAAGAGGGGCTGTGGCTCAGTGGCAAAGCCTCTGCTTGGCATGCAGATGGTCCCAGGTTCAGTCCCTGGAATCTCCAGTTAAAAAGGACCAGGCAGGAGGTGATGGGAAAGACCTCCGCCTGAGACCCTGGAGAGCTGTAAAGAGGGGCTGTGGCTCAGTGGCAGAGCCCCTGCTTGGCATGCAGAAGGTCCCAGGTTCAATCCCCGACTTCTCCAGTTTAAAAGGACCAGGTGGAAAATGATGTGAAAGACCTCCACCTGCGGACCCTGGAGAGCGGCTGTCAGTCTGAGTAGACAAGGCTGACCTTGACAGATGGACAGTCTGATTCCGTATGAGGCACCTTCATGCGTTCAGCAGCATCCAACAGGGCTCCCTCTTGCCCGTTCAAACCAGGCCTGGCTCCCTCCCATAGAGCTAAAAGGTGACTCTTTCACCCCCCCCCACACACGCTCATCATAATGAGGGGCACCAGACCGGAAGTCAACAGATAACAGCAACAGGGGGGATAAAGACGAGCGTGGCGCAACAGGAAACTGCCGCTCAGCCTCCCGTTCTGCATATCTCCACCCCACCGGCTGCCTTCTTACCTGCTGAGGAAGACGAACAGGAGCCCCTGCTGGGACGGAAGGGGGCCGGAGGAGACCCAGAAAGCGTAGATCTTCAAGGTGAACAACGCGAGCCAGAAGACCAGGAACAGCAGCGGGACGGCAAGCTGTCTCCAGAGGGACATGCCCAGCGCAACCAGCTGGTAGACCTCCAGCGCCTGGAGACAAGAGAGACCCAAAGGCAAAGAGAGCCACCAACCGGGCTTCTCGCGCACACAGCCGGGGACCACCGCGTGTCTCTCCAGCAGGACCACGGTGCCCCCAACTACGCAGAAAGCCAAAAGGGGATCTCCTTTAGCCAACACACCACCTTGCAGTGGCCTGAACGTGGCTCTGGAATTCAGAGGCTGACTGCCTCTGAACGTGGAGGTTCCCTCCAATCACAATGGTTTGCAGCCACCGGCAGACCTGTCCTCCGTGAACCTATGTGATCTCCTTTTCAAGCTGTTCACTCCTGTGTCCCTCGCTACATCCTCTGGCAGCCAGTTCCGCATTTGAATCACTCTCTACGTAAAGCAGTATTCCCTGTTGTCCCGAACCTACTGCCCATCAGCTCCATTGGATGCCCTCGAGTTCTTGTATTTTGGGAGGAGGAGAAACATTTTATCTCTGTCAACTCTCTCCACCCCGTGTATAATTTTAGAAACCTCTGCTATGTGTCCCCTCCCCTTAGTCGTCTCTTTTCTAAACTGGAAAAGTCCCAGAGACGCTTCGGCCTTTCCTCCTAGGGAAGGGGCTCCAACCCCCTCATCATCTTGGTCGCCCCTCCTCTGCATTTTTCCTAGCTCTGCAATGTCCTTTTGGAGATACGGGGACCAGAACCAGGGCTATTTTGGGGCAGGAACGCACAGGAACGGAGTTCCGGCTGGCTCCCGAGTTGGCCACGCCCAGCAGGTGCTCGTTAGCATAACAGGCCACACCCAACAGCAGGAACTCATTGGGATTGGCTACATTAGGGGTGTTTGGCCTAACATGCAAAGGAGTCCCTGCTACAAAAAAAGGCCCTGGGTTTTGACAACAAACAAGGTCAACAGGATAAGAAGCAAAAGGTGGGTGTGGCTGGATGACCATACCTCTGGTAACGTGGGGGTGTGGCCTAATAGGCCAATGAGCTATGCTGTTGGAGTGTGGCTGATTATTTTCTGTTGTTGGGTGTGGCCTATTATGCTAATGAGTTCCTGCTGGGCTTTTTCTACATAAAAAGCCCTGACCAGAACTGTATGTCGTATTCCAAATGAGGCCGCACCATAGACCTATACAGGGGCATTACAATATTGGCCGTTTTATTCTCAATCCCCTTCCTAATAATCCCTAACATACAGTTTGACTTTTTCACTGCTGCAGCACACACCGGCTTGACACTTTCATGGAGCAATCCAGTAGTGGCGTCTTTGCTTTCCTGCCTCGTGCAGGGGGTTGATGACCCTGGAGGTCCCTTCCAACTCTGTGATTCTACGACTCCGAGATCTTTTCCCCTCTCAGTCTCAGCCAGTTCAGGCCCTATTAGCCTATCCTTGGAGTTGGGATTTTTTGTCCCAATGTGCATCGCCTGACAAGTTATCCCATAGGGGAGGTGTTAGCCAGCGAATGGAATGTCCAGCTCGGAAGCCTGGAAAAAAGACCTCTTCGGCATCAAGAAGCCTGTAATGGGCCAATCCGGCCAGGTGGTGGCAGTGCGGCGCTACGACTCAAAGCCAGCCCAGGAAGAACTAATGTCATCAAGCGAAGCCGAAATGAATGCCGCCCGGAACATGACTGAAGCCTACAGCTGAACAAAATCACCGTCGGCTGCAAACGTGTGCGATTTAAAGAATTATATGTTGTCCTCCCTTACCCCTATCATTGTTAGTCCCTTGTGAAAACCCGTGTAACTGTAAATCGCTCAGAGCCAGCAGCCCTGCAGGATTGAGCGATCAATAAATCGAAAGGTATTATTATTATTATAATCAACATGCAACTTCGCTGGTCACACTGTCGCCCTCCGCACAGAGCACAGGCCCTTCTGCACGGAAAAGCGGGGAGAAAGGGCTGGCCCGTGTAGCATATAAGCCTCCTCCCGGCCCCTGG